AAAAAAAAAAAAAAAAAAAAAAAAAAAAAAAAAAGAGTATATGTGTAAATGTTCCGGGGATGCCCGGACGCGGCCGGCTCACGCTCGCTTGTTCCTCGCATCCCCTGAGCGCAACTTTCCGGAGCGCAGCGCTGCCCCGGGCGGGTCCCCGTGTGCCGGATGCCCGCACCCCTGTGAGCGGCGGCCGCGGCCCTTCCTTGCCGATCCGGGAGCGCAGTGCCCGTGCCTTGTCCGCTAACCCCCTCTAGCGCCGAGCCCGCCGCACTCGGCCCGGAGCTGCCGGCAGCGCCGAGCGAGGGGGCGCTTCCCGCGCCCGCCTCACGCACCGCACCGCGCCCCGCGCTCCCCTCGGGCGGGCGGCTGAGGAGGGGCCGCCGCTCCGACGTTCTCCTTCCTTCCTTCCCTCCGTCCCTCCCTCTTTCCCCCGCTGCCCCCGGGCCGCCCCTGGCTGGCGGGGCGCGAGTGCCGGAGCGCCCCCGGCGCGGGGCCGCGCTGGCTCCCGGCGGACCCGGCACCCGCCGGGCTGCGCGCAGCGGGGCGGCCCCGCGGCCGCGCCGGAGGAGGGGGCGAGCGAGCGCTCCGCGGGCGGCAGGGGAGCGGCGGCACCAAAAAACTGCAGCCGGCAGCGCGGCACGCAAATCAGGAGGGAGCAGCGAACATCACACCAGAGCCGCCTGGTTTCTGATTGCTCCGCGGCAGAGGGGGAGAGACAGAGACTGACTGAGAGGGGCGAGCGGCGGAGCCGGGCACGGCGGCGGAGGGTCGGGGATGCCGCCCTGCAAGTTTCCTTGATGCATTCGGGAGCCTGAGGAGGAGTCGCCGGCCGTTCTCGCCGTCGTCGCGCTCCACCTGGGGAACCTGAAGCCCCTCGGCGCTGCCTCCGGCCGGGGATGCGGGGCACGGTGCGGCGCGGCCGGGGGAGGAGGCTGCTGCCGCGCAGGAGGCTGCTGAGGCTGCCAGGGGCGCTCCTGCGGGGCTGAAGGTGCCACCGGCCCGAAGCCGGCGGAGGGAGCGGGGCGCGACCCCCCCGGCCGCCGCCACCGCCTGGAAGTTGCCGGAGCTCTCCCCGTGCCCAGCGCCGCCTCCCTTCAGGCAGGGCGGCAGGGGGGTCCCGGCGCCCCCGCCCGCCCTCGCCCTCCGCGCTGCCGCCGTGCCCCGGGACCCCGGCGGTGGATGCGCCCGGCCCGGCCCGCGCAGCCCGGGGCGGCAGAGCAGGCAGCGCAGCCCGGCGGGGCGGCGGCGGTCCCGCCGGCCTGAGGGAGCACGGGCAGCCTCGGCGGGCCGAGGTCGCGGGGCGCTCGGCGAGCACCAGCCATGGGGTGTAGTGAGGTGAGGGCATTGCTCTGGAGAGTCGGCCTCTTCCTCCCCCTGCTGACAGCGCGCCCCTCCGCCGCCGGGCACGTCGCCAGCAACCACGGTGAGTGAGGGCGGCCGCGGTGCGGGCTGCCCGCAACTTTCCGGCGGGCGAGGGCTGTGAGAGGATGGAGGGAGGGAGGGAGAGAGGGGTCCGCACCTGCGGCCGCCAGCTCGGCCTCTCCCGGGCCACAGGGATGCAGGACCGGGCGCCTCCCGGCGTTCACACCTTCGTGCCGGCCACAAAAGTTGGGTGTCTGCGGCCGGAGCAGCAGCGGGGCTCCGCTGCCGTGCCCCGCCGGGGATAACTCTGCGCTGTCCGCACGGACACCTTCAGCCGCCGGGCTGCGGGAGTGAGAGCAGGGAAGCCAAAGTTGCCTCCCGCCGAGGTGGAGTGGTAGCATCGTTTGATATGAAATGTGGGTTTGAGGTGTGCTTCGGTCCTGCCGAACGCAAATCCTCTTAGAATGGGTTTGAGAGAGCTCATCGCTCCTTAGGGGGAATTGCTGCTGGTGAGCGAATTGTTCAAAGGTGCCTGACTGCCCTTAATACCGGATTTCTGCATACTCCGGGCTGATTGTCTGAAAAAAACCCATTTAAAATCTTGGTAACAGGTAACTTGCTTTGTAACATGCTCATCAGGTCCCACTGAGGACGGTGTTTTAATTCTTCGGTGTGTAAGGTGTGCGTTTTAGAAAATTGCCTCTGGATTAAGAAGGGAACTATCCTGTTTATAGGAATAAAAATGCGTAGCACGCCCAGAGGATACAGTATTTTGTTAGGAAGAACTAAGAAAAAGAGCCCAGACCTGATTATGAAACATCATGTTACATGTTATCAAACATCTGGATAGAGCAGAGAATTTCCTGAACTGCTTGTTTTATGTGCATCAGTGTATTTAAGTTGCAGAGGATGCATCTATTCCCACAGTATGGGAGGCTTCTGTACCTTTATTTTTGTACAGTTTGGCTTTTTCGAGGTTTTAGTGTGATGTGACTGAAAATACAGGAGCTGAAGGGTAGCTCTAAATGTTGCTGCTGACAGAAATTGCTTTACCTGCTGTATTGAAATGTACATTGAAATTGACAATGGTGGAACGTAATGGTGAAAGAAAACAAAGTGGCTTTAGTCGTGGAGTACTATCAAGTCTACAGTTCATGTATTTTCACAGTTTTGTTCTGCAGTCTGTTTTCAGTGCTCTTTGTATCGACCTCAGTAGCAGTAAAATCAGAGAATAAGATCTCTAGAAAACAGGGAAGAGCTATAGTATGGCCACAAAGCCCCTGTGCCATCAGGATGAGTTATGGCAAGGACATTCCAAGTTAGTAGGATTCCTTCACCTCTCCCATGCTAAATGTGATGAATAATTCCACTTTGTAATTGTAGAGTCTACAGTCATATCAAGGCTGATTTTTGTCCTTTCATATGTCTTAGAAGGCATCAGACTCTCACAGTGGCACAACCCAGTTTTCCTTTGATGGTACAGGCATTAGAGCATGCTAATGTCTGCTGTATTATTACAAGGCCTAACACCACACTTGAATGTGATTTTTAAATATATATATTATTGGTGTTGTAGAACAGCTAAGGCAGCATAATAGCATCAAAGGCAAAGAGTTTTTCTCGATTAATGCAACTTAGTTTAGGTTTCTAAACTAGTATTTTATATTCTGGGATTAAATGAGTAGTGTTTAAAAAGTGTTTTAATCGTGTTTTTAAAGGATGGCAAAGATAGTTGCCAAAAGTCTGTCGGGGATGAAGTGGTTTCTTGATGTTGATGTAACTTCACCTAAGAAGTCCAGGTGTTGTGGTGTTGGCTGCAGAGAGTACTAGTGAATTTCCTGACTTCTGAGTAACTTCTTTTTTCTGCATGTTGCTTCCAAACTTCAGTACAACGAGTAGCCTCTTACCTTTGATACTGCTATATCACCACAAAAATCAAGTAATAAATATAACTCAACAAAACCCAAGTGAACTGAAAATGGACTGAATTAATACAGGTGCTTTTATACACATACTCCCACCTTGTTAATAAAATGCTAGCAAAAAGAGTCTGCTTTTAATGATAACTTTCTCTAAATTCAGGAATTGAAGGAAAGGAAATTACTACAATAAAAAAGTTGCCCATTGTGTAAACACTTAAATGTGGAAGGTTAAAATGCCAGTTACTAATACTTGGAATCCCAGCTGCAAAGAATTTTTTTAAATCTTCTGAGAAAACATAACTTCTTTAAATTTTCCTGAAGTGATAATTTTCAGCATGCAGGTCTTGAAAACGTCTTTGCAATAACTGCTGTTGGGTTTTCACTTATAATTATTATAATGATATAGTAACTTTGCTATCTGGTATATTTTGTCTTCTGTTTTGTGTTCAGAAACATACCAGCATAAATAGTAAATTGCAAAGGAATGTTTTGTTTTGTCTCTTGATTGTTGGGGTGAAAAGGATGGAAGGGTTTATTAATCTGACTTGGTAGACAGACAGCCCTTCCACTTCATTCTTAATGGTTTGTTTCCTGTTATTAAAGAGGGATTTTCAGAAAAATAATATACTCTGGTCTTATAAATTGTTATTATAACCATGTTGGGATTAATCTTTTTTGTTCTTGTCAGACAGAAAGAAATACATATTTTTTCTTACATAGCTCAAAGGCTCTTAGGTTGTCATTCTTCACCCAGTAAATCAATGTGTGGTGTCTCAGAGAATCTGTAGCAAGGCAGGCACAAACAATACTATTGGCAGGGAAGTGAACTTACTCATTCATCTTCATGGAGTGGCCAGTTCAAAAACATATTATGACCATGCCAAGGGCTAATTTTTACTGCTCAGAAAAACCCTGTAGGGTTTGGAATTGCATAGGAGGGGTAACCCGTGCAGTGTGTGGCAGAACTGCTTGGAACAGAGGGCTCAGTTAATGGTGGAGGTTGAGTGCTTGTATGTTCATACAGATTTTCAGTGGCTGTCCCTGACATGCACTATGAACGGGCTATTGGGCAAGGTTTCAGAGTGCTGTGGTGTTGCTTTGTTTTTTGCTTGTCAGAGCACCATGAATTGGGCAATTGTTGTCAGACCTAAAATTACAGATAATGGCATCTGAGCAGCTCCTTGTGAAAACTTGTGGGAGCTTTCAAGATAAAGGTCACACCAGGTAAAGGCTCAACAGCTTCTTGTGCTAAGCGTGCACACAGAAATGTTTGTACATATATAAAAATCAGAAACCATATTTGTTTCTATGTATATGTCAGCCAGAAAGAATTTCTGAACCCTGGCTCCTTTCAGGTTGTGTCTGCCATTATGTATCACCAGACAATTAACTCCTGAAGCCAACTATAGAACTTGCAGAGTTTATAATGTGTCATGCCTATTAGTGGGGTGTAAAAAACTTACTTTTTCCGTTTCCAGGTATCATTACTTCTTGTCAGATTATGCAAACAAGGTCTTTTTATTCATACCTCTAAAAGGCATCTGCATTCATTTTTCTCCTCTTAGAAAAAAGAAGCTGAACTAAGAAATAATGTCAAATGTCAGTCCTGAAATTCATATAGCCTTTATTTTCACAATGATTACACTTGATATAAATTGGGTGGCTCAAAGGAGGTAATAAAGTTTCTTGATTCTGGGAGTAAAATATCAGGTAGATTACTAATGACCTTGAAGGATTCATCAGTTCAACGAAGTTGGCTCATTTTCATTCTCATATTTATTTTTACAGAAGTGCAATCTACCACATATAGGCACTCTTTCTGAATACAGAACTCAGATTTTTTTTCTAAAGCAATAAGAAGACGAAGGACTAAGTGTGGAGAGATTGAAATTCTCTCTGAATGAAGCTGATGTTTTACTGTTAGGAGAGATCTCTTACTTTGAGGACTTAAAGTACTGTAGAAAAGCTGTGCTGCTGCCTGTGTTGTGCTAGTCCTGCTGAATTCTGATGTTCAGTTGTCCAGTTTATACTTTAATAAGCTTTTACATCATTATAGAAACATGAGAAAGTTAAATAAACAATGCCATGCAGTAAATGTGTGTCATTCCCTTTTCAGCAGGCAGATAAAATCATGAGCATATTTTAGTTTCAAGTCCTTATAAAACTTTTAACAATATTTTTAACAATATTTACAATAGTGTGTAAAATCCCACATCCATATGGACTTGTGTGCTAATGAAGACTTGGGAACCTCTGCAGCTGTAGATATGCATGAAATGATTTGTTATCCAAGAGCCTCAATCTGTATGCCATGAAATGAGAAAATTTGCAATTAATGATTCAGGATACATTCCTGGTGTTGTATTTGGCAGTATTGAAGGCTGTCTGTATATATATATAGATATATGGATTTTTATTTTTTTTAAGCAGATACAATTTAAAACCAAATCAGTACAGTAGTTTTCATGTAATTTACAGGAGTGAAAACACCACAGAGGAATGGAAGTGTTTCTTGAAGTTTACCAATTTAACTCTCTGGTCAGATCTCATTCCCTCTAGGAGGTCAAAAAGTTTACTGAGGAAAAAGAGAGAAGGAAAAAGCATGTAGGAAATTGTTTCTCTTATTAAAATCTCCTCTGTCTTTCCAGGTACATACTTTTAGATCTTAACTCTGCTTGAGGGTTTGTTTAGGGTATCTGATGTTAAATTTTTCACCTGAGAATTCTAGAAAAGTCAAAAAGTTCAGCAAGTTTGTCAGTAAGATACACAGTAACTCAATATCTATTTTGTTGGCTGTTTTTTTTTAATGAAAAATCTAATGTTTAAAAATCTCATTTAACTCACTAGAAATATTAAGAAAATTATGTTTGTGTACAATATAGGAAGCATTTTATTGTTTTTAGATCCCAATATAGCATAGCTGGGTTAAGATATATTCCTATTCCAGTGTTAGCTGGAATGTTTCATTAGGATCCTTGGATTTCCCCAACATGATGTTGACACAAAGATGAGTGGGCCTTGTGTTTGATATGCCCCTTAACATGCTGAACTCTGTGACAGAGAGAATGATAAAATGGATGGAAATAGACACCTCTGGATAAATTATTTATCCATAATCTATCCTGCCCTCCAGAAGCCA